GGGTGCAGGGCTGCACCCCCAAACTTCCACCCCACACTGGTGACTTCCCCCCCCGGGCACGGACATCGGATTTCATAAACCGTTTGTCGGAGTGCTGCAGGAATCCCCGTGCACTGGGCCCACAGAGAGGGGGGCAACGGACTGGCCTCTTTCTGAGGAGCGGGAGCCAGCTGCCCCCGCAGCGTGTTCCCCCCCGGGTGGACACGGCCCCACGCACCCCACTGTGAGGCTGAAGAGCTGAGCGACCTCTCCCCACTCAGCGGGTGGATGGAGGTCCACACTTGGGAGAAAAAGCACCTGTGGAGTACAGAAGCTGAAAAAACAAGGGCAGGGTTATTTCACCATTACCACTCCCAGAATACAGAGTCATGTACAGAAACAGATTGTTTATTCATTTTTAAAAAGGTCAGCAACTTAACACAAGGCAGTTAAACACAAAACCAAGCCCGAGTGCATCTGTTAGCCTGTTGTACTGGGTAAGACAATTTTTCTTTCACTGAGCAGAAGGCTTCGTTAGAACTGGAAAAAGCTCTGCCTCTTCTCCCACCAAAACTAGGGAATGTCTCTCAAATTACAGCACAGAGCAAAAAAGAAAATTATTTGAGGCCACAGAATTATCTCCTGTTCAAGCAAACAGCAGCCTAATTTAGAAGAAAGTGTGACAGAATTGGGCATAGGCTGTATCAGTATTTGTGCTTTCAAATTCTAACCTCAGTCTGATGCCTTCAAAACAGGATTATATACCGACAGCTAAAAAATAAAAAAGACTGCTAAGCCAAACAAGAACCACATTTTTGTAGTGAAAACAACGCTCAGCTTAACAGGCAGGTGTGTAGGGTCTGGGGGAAAAGTCTCTTCCAGAGGTTGGTGTGGAAGTCCAGGTCGGGCATAGGCACAAAAACTGGACCCTCTAAGGGTGCTGTCACACAGGGCTCCAACCAGCCAGCACCGGTGAGATTCGGTGAGCTACCCCAGCACAAGGCATCCCAGTCTAAGGCATCCGGTAGTGCTGATGAGGTGCGTTTTGGGGGACAAGTCATTCCTTAAAAGGCACTGTTCCAATGACATCACTTTATCCGGAGGAAGGGTTTGTAATACAACCCTGATGATTTATACTCCCACGTCAAGGAAGACAGATCAAGAATACGGGGCTGCTCTGTAACCAGGGCAGCAAGAGTTTTTTCTGACGTCACCAGTGACATCTTCCCTACCTACAGATCTATACGCAACATATACATAAAGAGCAGCAAGGCTGTTAATGCTCCACACTAACAGAGGGCAAGTTTAGATCTAAACGTGCTTGTATTTTAGACGATTGATTTCTTTGTGTTTTAATTATCTTCCCAAAAACTGAAGCAAGCCTGCATTCTGCACTCTCCATTTATTGATGAGGTTAATTTTGCCCTGTGCAGCCTCTCACATTCTGCATCCAAGTTTGCTTCAGTTGATAAGAAGTTTTGTGGGTGAATGCAAAGGCAAAGGAAACAATTTAGCTTTTATATATTCGGTTACAGCATTCTATTTAAGATGGGCTTTACTAGCCCAATTAGTAGACAAATGGGTGTTCTAAGCGTAAAAGCATATCAAAATAGTCAACTGGAATGGCCATTATCTAACCAGAGCATTAACTAACCTAAGTCAATACTCATAGCAATTAATAAGATATTTGGGAAAAATTGCAAAGAAAAAAAATCCTTATGATCAGCTGCTTCCCATCACCCAGGCAGTACACCAGGCATCCTTTAATCCTCTCCACCACAGAGTCTGAGCAGAACTTTCCTATAGTCTCCTGAGCAGTCTCCCTAGAGAGACAAGAAGAAAGGAACGCAATTAGTTTTACAGCTCCGTACAAGGCTGGATTCTTTCCAGCACATAAGATTTGTTGTAGGGTTTGTATCCTCTTTGACAATTTAAGAACTAAGAACATTCAGGAACATTTTCAGTACATAAATGTAAAGTCTCCTTCATTCCACCTCCTCTAGAACACCCAATAAGTGTTGAGCGGGCACCCGTCCCCTTTAAGCTGCTTAGCAAATCCAGCTCCTTGTTTCTAACACCGAAAAGCTTACCTTAATGAAGGAGTAGAGCGATTTCCCATACATGGTCAGGAATTCCCTTCTGATATCCAGCATATCTATTTCAGAGCGGGACACCATCACTCGGATCAGCGTGTTGTCATCTGTTCCCAAGCCCTAAGGAAATAAACCAACCATCTACCACTACAAAGCATTTTGGACAAATTAGTGACAGACACAAAGGCTTTATCGCTTAATCTTCTGTGGGATCTGTTCCTAATTAGAGCATTTTTGCATTAATGGAGTGATCCACTAGCAGCTCGCTGCTAAGTAAGCATATTGCTCTGAGCTTCCTGAGGGAAAAGAGGTCCATACAAAAGCTCAGACTTTTTTTTTCCTCCCCAGTTAATGGCAGAGTTTCTCTTTATCACGCCAATAACTCGAGCATGGAAAGACAAGGGGGGAAAAATAGTGATCTCACACCAAAAGCTCTTTACCTTCATGGATTTATACAATCTTTCAGCAAAATATGCAGGTTTATTTCGCACACACTTTACTGTAAGGGAGACAAGAACAAGAGAATTAAGGCCAATAAAAACGGAAGGGGAAGGTCTTCCAAACCTTTACAGCACTTTCTCAGTGAAGGTGTTTATTCTGTAAAGATGAAATTCAGGGCCAACAAACAGCAGGTACAACGCAGACATCCATAGTCAGTGGCCTACTGTAAACTGATGTCTCCAGGCCCAGTGCACAGCAATATTTTCTTTAAGGCTATTTAAGCAAATTATCAGCTACCAAAGCATCACTTGGGAAAGCAAACAGTATCATAAAGCACAGAGCTTTCTCACCCGATTGTATCTGCAAAGATTAAAACACCGTGGCTTGCATGGCTTGCAAAAAAGACAAACAGTATCTGCCTCCTGAAGCTATGTAAACAGCCAGCCAGGGCAAGATACAGTATCTCTAATTATTTAATTGCTTTGTAGACGAAGTTTAAAAACAGGGAACTCACCCACAGCTAACAAAGCATCTTCAAGGTCTCCTGACATCTCAGATTTAATGCTGTCTGTTATGTCCTTATTAGCAATCCCTCTGTATGCATCAAAAACTAGGAGGAAGAGTCAGTGATAAAAAGAGTGAGTGAGATGCCTCAGGGCACACAGAGTGTAAACCACCAAGGATCACTTTGCAAGATCAAGCTCCTCATCCTCTGCGTGAACGTTGTACCACTATTGTGACATTGTAAGCTAAATCAGGGCTGCCCCACAGAAATAATTCATTTTAATTATCAACCGTCTTGCTAATTGGCCTACCACTGCTGCTAGCGTTTTCAAGAACTGCTAGTTAATGATGGCAGTTTAAATGCTTAGCTCTGCCCCAATGGGAGTCACACTTCATTATCTCAAATCTACAGTCTGGCACAAGTTGTACTGATGTTTTTCTCAAGTCCCTTTTTGTCTCAGGAGGGAATAAAAAGGTCTTGAAGAATTGAATGTGACTGGGCTGTAGGATACCTCCTGTCTCAGGAAGCATTCACAATCGGTTAATGAACAAGTACAAAGCTCCTACAAAAGTATCGTCCTCAAACAAGGAAGAAAATCCGAAACACTGCAGAGGGTCCTACCTTTTAGTAGGTGGCATCTGTTCCGTGTACAGAGGATAGCCATAAACTGAACCTCATCTGTTCCCCATTTCTTCTCCCCAGCTTCATACAGGCACTTGAAAACATTACGAACAGACAAGGTAAGGCTAATTGAGAAGACTGGGTGTATATAACATGAGGCTTTTACTTCCTTGGTGCTTGAGCACTGCTGGCCTGTGGCTTGTCAGGATCACAGATATATTTCCAACAAATGGTTCCAACAAATAGCAACTCTCAACTGAAATGTCATCTCCCCTCCCAAATAGCCAGCCTGTCTAGAGACCTCTCACCACGGAGGTGCGGAGGAGGCTGGAACCATTATCCCCATTTCACTGGCTGAGTCAGAACAGCAAGGGCCTTCTCCAAGGGTCAAAGCTGAGCATAGAGCCCCGGTCTCCACCTAGGGCATTGCTGTCCAGCATAGCTTCAGCCTTACTGTTCTACCTTGAAAAAAAAAAACAAGGTCTACAAAAAGCAGGGATTTACCATGCATCACATGTACAAGAGCAGACAATTCTTGCAAGGAAGCAAGTTGCTACACACCTGAGCATCTTGTTGGGCAAGGGCATTATCCACATACGTTCCCTCATCTCTGTTACCCTGGGGAGATACAAGGGTGAAAGACTCATTTCACCAGAGCAACTGACGGAAGCAAGTCCTGCAAATTCCCCATTCAAAACAAGTGACTGGAGGTGCATAATGGGATCCTTAAAATTGAATAGTAGCTTACAAATACAGCAAAATATGGCTCAGATGTGATTTGTAATTCCTTTTGAAATGAGCAGCAATCCACTTTAGCTGGGCCATTTTAAAAAGAGCACATGGCATTAATGCATACCCAGAGTCAGACTCCTCTCCCTGCAGAAGCTGGGCGTGAAACGCAGGAGAGGTGAAATGCAAAGTAAGTGAAATAAAAGCCATCACTGAAGTGAGAGGCGTGTTCATCAGCAACAGGAAGATTTATCCCCATTTCCCTTAGCCTGGACTTACTGTCGCGAGGGACACAAGGACTCTTCGAAACATGGAAGATGTGTCAGAGACGATGTCCTCCTCGAGGGTACGGCCATATTCTAGCGAGAGCACACACACACAACATCTGTTAGTAACAGGTCCACCAGCTGGACACTGTCCACAACATTTGCCAGCCGTAAGCTAGGTGAGTATAAAACTGTGCTCAGGGCTTTAAACATCATAGAATCGTTTAGGTTGGAAAGGACCTTTAAGATCATCGAGTCCAACTGTTAACCTAATACTGCCAAGTCCACCACTAAGCCACGTCCCTAAGCACCACATCTACACGTCTTTTAAATACCTCCAGGGGTGGTGACTCCACCACTTCCCTGGGCAGCCTGTTCCACTGCTTGACAACCCTTTCAGTGAAGGAATTCTTCCCAATATCCAATCTAAACCTCCCCTGGCACAACTTGAGGCCGTTTCCTCTTGTCCTATCGCTTGTTACTTGGGAGAAGAGACCGACCCCCACCGGGCTACACCCTCCTTTCAGGTCGTTGTAGGGAGCGATCAGGTCTCCCCTCAGCCTCCTCTTCTCCAGACCAAACCCCCCCAGCTCCCTCAGCCGCTTCCCATCAGACTTGTGCTCCAGACCCTTCCCCACCTTCGTTGCCCTTCTCTGGACTCGCTCCAGCCCCTCAAGGTCTGTCTTGTGGTGAGGGGCCCAGAACTGGACACAGCACTCGAGGTGCGGCCTCACCAGTGCTGAGTACAGGGGGACGATCACTGCCCTGGCCCTGCTGGCCACGCTATTGCTGATACAGGCCAGGATGCTGTTGGCCTTCTTGGCTATCAACATAGCAGTCCAGCCATCATATTTAGGGCTACAGGGCAAAATTAAGAAGCACAGCCATTATAAAACTGGCAATAGATCCACACATGGACAGACATCCAACTGATAGATGTACCCACGCCATCCTGTTTTATTTACACCGATTCAATTTCTGGGTGAAATTCTAATCCTTGAGGCTGTTAGCAGTCCTGCTGTTGACACTTGTTTAACTCAGAGGTTCTTTATGAACAAATGGCAATGGTTGTATTGGCTGATTTGTCACATTTAAAGGCTAACAGACCCATTTCCTTCCTCTTCATGTGTTCATACACACACACAAGTGACTTCTCAAGTCAGTATGATAATGGCTTGCAGTTTACACTACATACGAAGTTTGTAGTTCTCATTAATGCGCCGAATCTCTTCATTTGTGCGAGAAGCCAGAATTTCAATCAGGCAACCTTCCTCTGTTCCTGCACCCTAGGGAATTGCAAAGACAAGATCCAAGATTACTATGACAACTGTTTTGATGTGCAACTAGGATTCTTTTTTGTTAAATATATATAATTTAATAATAGTAAGTTAATAATAAACGTATAATTATGCCGTATCATAGTAAATTGACCAGAACTTAAGCAACATAAAAGGAAGATTTCTGAACCTTCATAGCCCTCCTCAGTTCATGCACGTCGTACATGGTGGTAGGAGTCATCATACCAATGATCACCCTTTCAAAATTCCCACTCAGCTCAGATTTCAAGTCATCAATCAAATCCTAGAAGACAGAAAGAGCAGAAAGGAGTTGGGAGAAGATACAGCCTTTGAGAACAGAAAGAATTCGTTCACCACTTTTCTTCATGCTCCAGCCCTCCTTGGATGAACAGTTGCTCTGAAGTGAACAAGACCAAAATGACCTTGGCCAAGGAAACCTTGTGCTAACCTTACTGTTGTGGAGACTAGGACATTGTTCATATTCCACCCCAGTGATATAACCCCCAAAATATCTGCATCTCCCAGTTAAAGCCACAGTCACTAATCTCTGAAGATCACCTACCCTGCCAATACTGCTTTTATAGGTGATCAGAACTTGCTGACGTTGGGAAACGTTTAGTTTGGTCAAGATCTCAATGATGGCATCTTCATCTGTGCCTGGAAGAAACCAATGGAAACCAGTCAAGCTGCTTGCACAAGATCCAGATGCATGCTCTGGTCTTGTCCAGAGCGTGCCATTAGCCATCTTCTGTTCCTCACACAACCTGGTTCTCAGCATCTTCTGTTCCTTACACAACCTGGTTCTGAACAGCACTGGGGACTAGATCAGCGTACAGAAGTGCCTGAACCCAGCCCGTGGCCTGGCAGTACCACACCACAGGAGAGACAAGACAAGAGCCTGACTAAGGATGTTTTTGTGGGCAAGACTTGGATTTCCAGTTGGGTTCAAGTCTGAGCCTGATCAAGCCGCTTGATTGCTTTCCGTGCCCTCAGAGGGCAGCGGGGCAATGCAAATGGCTGGACTTGCCCTCTAACAAACCACCAGACAAAACATTCCCAATGCTCGGGGAAAAAAAAGAGCGTTTAACAGTGGAGGGAGACCAACTTACCAAATCCCTTCATAGCCTTCCTTAGTGCCTGTGCTTCTTGCTCAGCATTGAAGCTTGAGACCCCCTTGATTGTTGCCTAAACCCACAGGAGAGGAGTTATGAAAGGCAGTCTCAAAGTGATACATACATACAGTAGAGTTGAATCAAAAAAAAAAAATAAAATCAAAAGATGCAAACACAGTGACAGCAAGTAAAGTCCAAACACCAAACATGAGTGATTTTATACCAGGCTTCCATCCTGGAAGAGACACCCTAAAGAGAAACAGTTTGTTTTAGAGGGACTTCCCAACCACGTAAGAAAAAAGCCACAGGGACACAACTAAAAGGAGAAAAATATCTTCATATAGCTGCCCGTGAAGTATCTGGTTTCCAATTAAATAACGACAAGCAGTCTGACATCTCTGCCCAGTCCAGCTGGGGCTTCTTCCCAGCAGTTTTCCATGTAAATCATAGAAGAAGCCGTTCCCATCAAAGCCCTATTCCTGCCTTCTCTAAGAAGGGCCAAGGACCATAATTCTGTAATCTAACGCACCAGGAACTGCAGTGTTTTACTCAGAACAGTGATTCACAAACAGGTTTTTCTTGCCTCCTGTCCAGTGCCATTTCTGTGGGACTACACTGCCTCTCGCAAAGCTCTCCGTGTTTCCATGAAAATCATCGGCAAAACATTGCTTAACGTTCTTGCAGGTTAGGCTTTCTGAAACAGGCACAGGGATAACTACCATATGGATGGCTACCTTGCAGGTTCAACCTGGAAAGAATAATATGCCCAGGAAGTTTACCTGGAGAAATTCGTGCTCTTTGAACTAATATCTGATCGGATTTTCCATTAACTCCCAAAATTGAAAAGTCCATATGTGTGGGTCATTCTCCTGTAGCATGAGGAAGCGGAGAGAAGCGATAAACTCGCCCCCCATAAAGGGACCGACAGCGACAGCATTCTTCCTGCTGCGTCCGTATCTGAGCTACGCTCCCCACATTTCTCTTACCAGAGCAAACACTTGGCACGGCACGGCACAGAAAACACATACACTCACCATCGCTCTTGTATTTCGTCAACCTGCTGTTGTCTGAGTCCCCAGGCAGTTAGACAACTGTAATAAAAAAAAGAGGGAGTGTTAAGTTTTCTAGCAAATAATTAATAGACTATACTTACCCTCGCCAGTTAATGGGGCTGGTTAAGTAACCATCTAATTTCTCTTACGACTAAAAGCAACGCTTGAACAGCCCTACTGAATGCCCACAGCAGCATCCCCGAGTTTCCAGTCCTGCTTTGTACCAAACGAACAAAGGATGGCTGACAACAGCATAGGGCCAGGGCATTCGCCCTGTCTGAGGGAGGGATGTGCTGCACAAGCAGGTGATTAGCACTAGTAATTTAAGAATTTCTTTTCTATTGCTAGTGTGACAGCCTGGCTGAGGCTACAAGGAGAAGCAGACAATGTCACCCAGGAAGCAAAGAAAATAGACTTGATTCCCACACCCTTCAAAACACACGGCTTTGACCTTGCTAGGCGAGAGCCTGAGGGTGAAGGGTGCCTGCACAGTCCTAACAGCCTCCACAGATAGCCCCTGGAAGGCAGAGACAACATCTAGGTGTGGATGAGAAAGCAAAGGATGACCTCACTTGAGGGCTGGGATAGGAGAATTATTTTCCCTCTTAAAATCTGCTGTATTCAACATCTCCTCAGTTTGGTGCAATGTGTAATTCCTTGTAGGACTGCAGCTTTAACTGACTGTTAAAGCCCTCAGAGAAAAAGCTTACTTGCCATCTCCTCAGTGTGATTTTTTTCTTCTCATAATCTTGTTTTCATGCATAGGGCCTATACATGAACACACCTGAAGTATTTTCCCCTATCCCTGGTCAGCTCAGAGGATGTCAGGTACTAGGACAAGGTTCACTTCCCTGCAACTCAAGTTCAACACAGCATGAGCTAAGGTTCTCGCATTAAAGCCCTTAAGTAGAAGCAGCGATGCCAGTGCCTGATGACATCTCTCCTCAGTCCTGCTTGTGGTGCTTAATAGCTGCTATCAATGAGCCCAGACAGTTGTGCAAGAACAGGGGTGTCTTTGCTCATGCTTCACATGACTCTTACAAATCCGGAATACCATCGGGCGGGTGCTGTTTGGGCAAGTTAACTCTCAGTATGACATTTGCCATAGATGTGTTATGCACAGGCACTCCCGTGTGCTCTCCACATCATCTGTACATCATTACATCCTGTGCAATCAGGTAACATATGGAAAATTATTAGAGTTGAGTTCGCTTTCTTTCATTTGATTATAGATTTCAGTGGTCAAATTGTGACCTAGACCTCAGAAAAGTCATCTGCCCTCTACTCTAATTTTTCACAGAAGTATAAAGCCAACTTTATTTGCTTTAGCCAGACACTAAATAATGGCTTCAGATTTCACAGACATTTTTCTGATGCATTTTTACCATTCGGTTTGTACACAGAAGCAGGAATATTAGACAGGCTAGTTTAGCAAGTGGATTAGAGGGCAGAAGAAAGGTCGATAAACGAGGAAAAGGGAGTAGGAGGCAGAGGAACTCTGAGTGCAAATGAGCTGGCAGAAAGAAACCACAACATGAGGAAAGGATGCTTGTACTAGATTCAGGGCAAATGCTCCTGCAATATCAAATTACAACAGAAATGTCAAATTGAATATTGACTGTAAGATTCAGATTTCTTCATCCAGCGTAAACGTCCCTGGGAATATAAAGAATGGAACACTGCAGAAGGCAGCGGTGCTAACCCCATTGTGCAATCTGCAAATGCTGGTTTGTTCCCAGTGTATTTGTGTGTGTGTGGTGCCACAAGAAGTGAGACACTGAAGTCACAGCTGGAAGAGCTCGGCAGTTCAACCAGGTTCTCCAGCCATGGTCCCGGCCCCTGTAACCCTCTTGCTCCCTTTCACAGGTGAAAGCATCTCCGTGAACTGCTCAGGATAGAACTCAGGAGTAATGATGCTCAGGATGGGGCATTAGATGAATAAAACTCTTCCAGAGAGAGAGAAAGGAATTGCTTAGTCAGATTTGCCAGCGCTCTGCAGCTTAACACAATTCCTGGTCTGCAGGACAGAAGCAACACTTAACTCTGTGTTTTGAAGAATTAAACTATGCATGCAAAGAGTAGCTAGCAAGTGCTAAGATGCCCTGGCTAACGCCTGCCCTGATGCTATTTGCTTCATCCCAGAATAAAGGCCTGAGCTAGCTGATACGGTAAACCTGGCTTAGAACAGGCTCAGAACACTGTGGCCAGAGGACAGAGCGTGGGTGTACGAGGCATCCCTCCCATTATTCAAATTTTTTCCATGGATGACCTTTTCCTGGCAGGCTTCATCAGCTAATCAGGCAGTTATAAGTCCACATCAATGTCCTCTAGAAGCTGAGTCCAGAATAAACTTAATTTATCAGAAAAGCCAGATCTAGGCTTGCTCTGAACCAAGTTTTCCTGACTCTGCACAGAGCACACACCACTCCCAGCAAGCAAAGCTCCCAACAGCTTAACAGGATATAAACACATTTTTTTTCCCCCAAGTTTGAGCTCACAGACATATTGCCAGTCCTACACCTATGGTTTTGGAGTGGAAAACCATCATTTTGCGACCCATCCCCTTGCAAGGCAAACACTGGACTCGTTTGACTAGTTCTTTCATTCAGTTTACTCGAACACAGACCCACACCCTGTGCCAGATCAGTTTTTCCATGGCTCTGTCGCCGCCAGCTCTTCCCAGCATGCTGGATACAGCCTGCTCCTGCAGCCGGCCGTGCCGCAGGGAGAGACCGTGTCTCGGGGTAGGTCTGGGGCTGACAGCAGGGCGACTGACTCTGGTCCCAGCCCAATTTGGAGCTCAGGAAAGGATCTCCCTTCTGCTGGCAAGCCCCGAGCCAGATGAAGTATCCCAGCACCTCCCACATAATGACCTTTGCCTGGCCACTGCCCTCAAAAGGAATAAAAATATAAGACTGAGTTAGCAGAGCCTTGTACTCCTCACTTCAAGCCTGTGCACCCACCCAAAGCCGCTTCACGAGCCCCCACCACGCCCTCCACACTCAGCATCCCCCAGGGATGACGTGCCAGCTTGGGAACGGCAGAAATAGGAAGCAAGACCTGCACTCCCTGTGCCTGGGAAGAGTCAGCCATCTTCCTCCTTCCCACAACCTGCCTCCCCGTCCTTCTTCATCCCAGGGCTGCCCCAATGCCTTGGCATCGCGGCCCCGACAGGGCATCCTCCGGCCAAGGGCTGTCATGCACAGCTGCACTACCAGCCACTGCGGTCTGGCAAGCAGGGACGGTGCTTGGCACCTTCCCAAGGCACCTCTGGCCGTGCAACCCCTTCCCCATGCCAAAGGGGACCCCCCAGTTCGTTTGGCACTCACCTGCTGTCCCAAGCGGGCGCCTTGGCAGGGATGGGAAGAGCTTTGCTCGGCTGGCCCTGGATGGCAAAGTCCCCGCCCTGGAGCGGGGTGGGACGCATCAACGCAAAGCAGCTTTTCTCCACGCCTGACGGGAAGGCAATCCAGCCCGGCTCCCCTCTTCTGCCCTTCCGTAAACAGTTGGTTGTAATCCAGAGGAGAGAGAGATTCCCCAGGGAGCCTCATGCACGTTTAAGAAATGCACGTTTGGGGTTACACAGAGACCCTGGCAAGTAAAGGTGGCCTGGCAGGCTCGGATGGCTTCCACGCTCCCCAGCATTGCCTGTAAAAATCCCTGGGAACAGAGGGGGTCTCTGACCGAAGCCAGAGCGCAGAGCCAGCGTCTGATGTCTCACTTTATGCGGTCCTGTAAAAGGGCATAGCCAAGGGGGGAGCGAGGGGGACGACGGCGTGGGGCACGCAGGCAGCAGCAGCCTTCAGCAAGAAGTCCTGTTCCTTCCCCCATGTTGTTTGTGGGGATTTCTCACCCATATTGTGCCTCCTTTACTCCCACAGCACCTCTTCAACATCGTTCCCCCTCGCCTGAGAACTTCGAGTCACAAACAGCCGTGATTTCTGTAAGAATGATTATTTTCATAAAGATTATTATTTTTGCCCCAATAAATGGCACTGCCCTCAAGTAAAAACACTTTGGG